ATAGAAGAGAAATGAATAGACCCCATGTCTCATCCTTGGCCAACAAAATTCAAGTGCACATCTCCTGGAAACTTTTCTTTTACACCCTCTTTTCTTTGACAATGTAGCAGCCATATTGTATCCAAATAAGAAAGGATAAGAAAATTGCAGATCTCAGCCCAGAGTTCCTATATCAGTATGAGCAGGCTCAACTTTCTGGGCTCAGTCACACAGGCCTCAACACTTACAATAATACTGCAATTGGTTTGTATTAATGCTTTGTTGCAGACACAGTAGTCAATTCAGATTATTAATCCACTGATGAGGTTACAGTTCTCATAATCAAATCCTTTCAGCTCTAAACATTCCTGCATTGCCTATCACATGGGCTCTTCAGGGCCATTAATGATCCAAACCATGAGAGATAAAAGTCTTGTTATGTTGCCTAGGCTGGCCTCAAACTCCTGAACTAAAGGGATCCTGCCACTTCAGCATCTTGAGTAGATGGAATTACTATAGGTATATGATCAACATGCCCAGCTCACCTAGGTAAGTTTTAAAAGGATCTTGATGGCACTTATGTCAAAACTAAAGGGGTCAGAAATGTTAATAGGAAGACAAATTAGAAGCCCATTATATTAATCTGGGTGAGAGGTGAGCAAGAAATGGAAAGTTGGAGAGAGGAAATTGGATTTGGTTAACTTTTGAAGATAGACCCCAAAGATTTGTTGATGAATTGGACAGCCAACTGGATCCTGCCAATGGAAGAGGAATGAACAGGCCCCATGACTCAACTTTGACCAACAAAATGTGAGTGCATATTTCCTGGGAACTTTTCTTTCCATCTTCTTCTCTTTGACTCTATAGCAGCCATATTGTATCCAAATGAGAAAGGATAAGAAAATTGCATATCTCAGCACAGAGTACATGATACATATAATTTTAGTAGCTACTAGAATTAAAGCAATGCAGTCCAACCTATTGAATGTGTGTTAGTATAATCCATGGCACTTGGTGTTCTTCTTCTGGCTTCTTAAATAATGTTTCCTTTATTTATATAACCAAAGGATTTTTTAATTAATAAGCATATGAATTCAAGAAGGAATATGCCATCTGTTTTACAACATGAACTGTGTTTTTGGCATTTGAGAGAAATATCCAAATTTATCTAAGCAAATTTGTTAAACTAAATTTACACTTTTCATTGAATAAATTCAATGCAAATGTATTGCTACTACTGTGCTGATTTTTTTCAGGGTGAAAGCAGATATTCTTATATTTCCATGTTTTCTTGTGAATGATTCCTAAAAGGAGTGTGTGTGTGTGTGTGTGTGTGTGTGTATATATATATATATATACATATATATATATATATGTATATATATATATATATACATACACTTTAAAATTTGAATTTGTGCAAATTCTGAGGGAAAAATTCAGATCAATCTTTTTAAAAATATATTAATACATTGTAGCAAAATCTTAGCTACCTAGGACTAAATTTGTGAATGCTCGGTTTTGCTCATCTATAGGCTTTGGATTTTTAATATTCAATATTTTGGATAGGCATCTTCATGAAGTGTATTATATACATCTTCACTTTTTTTAAAAAGAAGATTGGCACAGATAATTCAACATTTCTCAATGTCTCAGGTTCTGCATTAATGTTTATGATTGCAATTGTTTGCATCATGATTATGCCACACTCAAGAACTCTTGATGACTATTGGTTAGTCTATTTGTATTTGTTTCCTGATCAAATTGTTCCTGTGGTAGAGAATTTTTTTTTTTCAGTATTGTAAACTGAACCCAGAACCTCACACATGCTAGGCAAGTGCTCTATCACTGAGCTATATTCCTACTCCCTTTTAAAATTTTTATTTTGATACACGTTCTAAGTTGCCCATATGGGCTTCAAACACCTGACTCACCTCCCTTATGAACAGATGCAAGTTTTAGCCATTCAGATAAAATACTCCATTTTCCTACTTTCCTTATATCTAGATTTGAATAGATGACCACATTCTGGCCATGAGATGTAAATTGAAGTGGATGAATGTTCTAGAAATTTCCACATTAGGGAGGAGTTTGCTCTTCACTTCTTTCTTACTCCTGCATATAATAGAAGTACTTGTGGCCATTCTGGAACCCTGAGGTGATTTTTGTGATTAGACCCCATGAACTGGGAATGGCAAAGCAGAAAGATGGGAGCCTGGATCCTTATGATATGAAAAGTTGCCACACTTCCTCTGCACTACATACCTTCATTCTTCTCTCATATGAGAGAAAAATAATTAACTTACTTAAGGCATTGTTATTTTGAAGTTTTCTGTCATGTGCATCCAACCCCAATTTACTAATTTTCATGTTTTTTTTATGCCTTCTGTTGCTTTTTTAAAAAAGTGTCACTCTAGATGCCTAGTTTTCTGTCATTATTCTTTGTTTAGTGATTGTGGAGGACTACTATCTGCTAAGTGCTAGAGATAGTGTTGTAGGCAAAACAAACATGTATGTGTTCTAGGAGCTTAAATTATATTGAGGATATTACTATCCATTGGGGAAACAGATGACCAAGTTTGTTAGCCATTAAAAAGGCTGGAGGGGCTTGCCTTTCAATACATTTGGCTACCTATACTTTCTTATTTTTACCTATGCTATAGTTAAGTATGATGGCTTACGATTGACTTGTGTTTGCGTGAGATGTATTTACTTCCATGCTTGTTACAAGTTATAAATAAAGTACCTGTTTTCTATTTATCGGAGAGCATTTCTATTGTGAAATAGGTATGGTGGCACATGCATGTAATGCCAGCTACTGGGGAGGATGAGGCAGGAGGATTGCAAGTTCCTTGCACAACTTTGTAAGAATCTGCCTCAAAAGAAAAGTAAAATGGGCTGGAGATGCAGTTTAGTGGTCAAGTGCTCTGGCATTTGAACCCAAGGCTATTGAACTAATAAATCCCCCAGACTGGCGCAGAATTTTTCCTCTTAACAGAGGCCACCCTAAATGGGCAATTTTCTTGGCACCTTCGCACCAGAATTTCCCAAGGTGGAAAGGGCAATTTTCCCAAGGTGGAAAGGGCAATTTTCCCAAGGTGGAAAGGGCAATTTTCTTGGCACCTCCGCACCAGAATATCCCAAGCTGTCCAGGGCAGTTCAAAGCAATGATTCATTCACTGCTCCCCACAGCACCACCTTGGATTTTATTTATTTATTTATTTATTTTTTGAGTTAGGGTCTTGCTATATTGTCCAGGCTAGTCTCCAACTCTTGGGCTCAAGAGTTCTCCTGCCTCAGCTCTCTAGTAACTGGGGCTTCAGTTACAGTCCACACCACAATGCTGGACTTCATCCTCTATTTTATGGAAATAATGTCCTTCATTTTCTTTAGAGTTTTACCATGTATATGTGCCTCTCTGTACACATAATTCAGTTTTACTGATTTTTGAACTGTGTATTCATGAAATTGTACTCTACATATATTTCTGTATTTTCTCTTTTTTAGCTTGACATTGCATGTGTAAGATTCAGTCATATGAATTACTTCAGTGAACATGAAGTAAGACAGTTCCACAATTTCTCTCCACCTGTGAAGCACACAAGTTATGTGCTTCCAGAAACAATCACTGTACAGTAGATACTTCCATTCCAAAAGTGAGAAACTAAAAAAAAAAAAGAAAGAGGGACAGGTCCCAGGCAAGTCCAGAATCCAGCAAGGGAAATTCCATTGGACTTTAAGGCTGAGATGAGAAAGGTCTTGAAAAATAGTCAAAGAATGGCTTTTCCTGGCTAAGTACCTGGATAGGCAAGAAATGAAATATTTCAGGGTGCTTGTCTCATGGTGGCTATATAGTTACCTTGTCTGACAGCACATTCTCTAAGAATTGATCATCATATTGGCATTACAAAGGGGGATACGGTACAGCAGACCCAGGAGTTAAAACGATCCAAGTGTGTCTTGGGAGAAAAAAATTAGAGAACCTGAGGATGAAACTGTGGAATTTCCTGAATGAATGAATGAATGTGAATACAGGAAACCTTAACAGGATTGTGAGGGAGTGTAAACTGTTTAATTATGATGGTGGGAGGTTAGTTGTAAAATGATGACTCTCAACTCCTCTCATTTTGAAGGCATTTTAAACTATTCTTAATAAACACTAGGAGGCAGGGAATAAAGATAATTCAGACCACTCTCCGTTTAGAGACAGTCTATCTACATCCTTAAATGGATGGCTTCTGTTATCCTCTTTTCAGGGCTCTGACGAAAAGAAACTCGAGGGCAATTCAGTTACCTGAATGAAATACGGCGCCAGGTGCCCGGTAGATTCGCCTAGCACAGCGCAGGGACTGCATGAGGACATTAACTTCTGCTCCTGGCCTCTCTCCCGTCCTGCTATAATCTCCACAGCAAATGACCTACAGTGGCGAGGGCTTCTGAGATACTCGTGTGGGTAGCCATAGTGTCTCAGATCAAATTACTACCACGTTTCTTCGTAAAGCTGAAGGCAAGAGGTAAATTCAACTTCACTTTCGAGAAAGGCTGCCCACTGTATCCGCCACTCGAGTGACAACACCAAGTACTCCCCTCAGCGGTGGCCCTCGTCTGATATCGGCAACCCGCCGCGAAAGGGGAGGTGAGCAACGGTAAGGTTTGGGAAAGAGGCTCCTCCGCTCCTCCGGCGGTCCACTTCCTACGGCGGGAAGGAGACAGGGTGTCTCTGCCCTCTCGCCGGATCCGCCCAGGCGCTCCCCTTTCGTGTCCTCAGGACTGTGCGTACGCTCCGCGCCTTCGACTTGGCTGAGCGCCGAGTTGCCACCGCAGCTCCGAGTCAGCCGGCTTCCCGGCTCTGACCTGGCGTGCTTTGAGAAACGCGGGGAGGCTGTGGGCCCGGCAATCTGTTCCTAGGCCGGGAGCCCAGTCGCGCGGCAGGACTGGGGGCGGGGCTGGGCGGGGCCAAGGGGGTGAGGCGTGATGACGCCACGGGCGCCTTGCCCACGTGGTGTCTGCGCCGGCGGCGGTTGTGGTAGTTGGGCGGGTGGTAGAGATCGCAACGGCTGCAGCATTCCCGGGGAGCGTGAGACGGCCACGGTGGCTGCAGCTCCGAAGTCGTGAGGGACCTCACGCTTCCCTCCTGTCGCTGGCGCTGAGCCTTCTGCCTCTCCTGCCCGGCTCCTCGACCCCGGCCCCGTCTGGACTGGGAAGAGAGGCCCCGGGGAGGGGCGGAGCTGTAGGTGAGGCGCCAGGAGCCCCTCCCCCTCTGCTGCCCGAGCTAACCCTTGTTAAGTCTCACACTTGTCCTTAGACCCACTTAAAATCAGGCCTCCCATCTCAGGATATCTCTAAGTACCTGGTCCGGGAGGTCACAAATGAGCGGGGAGGGGAATAGCCTTTGACCAAGAGGAGCTCACTTTTCCCATAGACGTTAGCCCTCTGTTAATATTGCAACTGGTAAGTATAAAGTAGGAAAAAATATAGTTGAAAACATTTGCGGGCTGGGTTTGTGGCTCAGTGATAGAGTGCTTTCCTTGCACGTATGAGGCACTGGGTTCAATTCTCAGCATCGCAAATAAAGAAATGATTAAAATAAAGGTCCATCAATAACTAAAAAAAAAAATTTAAAAATTTGCTCTATAATTTGTTGACCTTTAAAAATAAAATTTGAATTCTTACACTTCAGGGAAAATGGGTGCGGGTTTGAAAATGATACCTGCCATAAATGCAGCTGAAGTAAACATACATTAGTTCACAAATTAATGCTTTCAACAGAATGAGTAAATTAGGAAAAGTTTTAACCAGTTTCATTCTATATTATGTAGCGTGATCATCCAAAATTTTATACTTTTCTTGTACAGAGGGTATGTATTTGGGTGGTTTTTTTTTAAACGGAAACATTTTAGTTTTTAATTTTTTAAAAAAGCAAGGTATGCAATTAACTTAATAGGTTGAAATTTTTAGCATTATACCCTTGCATTTATTTAATTTATTTATTTACTTTAAAGAGAGAGAGAATTTTTTTTTAATATTTATTTTTTAGTTATTGGCGGACACAACATCTTTTGTTTGTATGTAGTGCTGAGGATCCAACCCGGGCCGCTCGCAGGCTAGGCGAGCTCGCTACCACTTGAGGCACATCCCCAGCCCCCAGCCCCCCAAAAGGGAAACATTTTAAATCCAACTGATACTTTCTGTCACCAGTGGACTAAGATTTTTTTTCTCAGTAAAAATTTCCTTAAATTATGTGCTTAACAGAAATTGAATTATTTTGTTACAAGACTGCTTCCACTTGAAATGCTGTCACAAGTAACTTGGAAGGGAGATATCTTGTAATGCTATTCTTAGATGTAATAATGCATGAACTTAGTTTATAAACTCTTGGACTATGTATTTGACACGTTAAAAAATGCACAGTATTAGTGTTGACCATCTCTTAATAGTTAACCTATAAATACTGTTCTATAATTTTCTTTCCTCAGAAACAATTGGTCTAAGTAGTGCCACTTGGGTCCCAAGTGCCAGGGAAAGAAGGACACCCAAAGCAGCGGGTGCCAATTGAGAATCAGCATCATTTTCAGGTTGATTAGTGTACAACTATGTCTTCTCATGCCTGACGGCCACAGTGTCACTCTGCAGGGCACACATGCTGATAAAAACTCATCTCAGATTTATCTTAGTCTTTTCCCCCACATCCTTGTCAACACTTATTATTGTTTGTATTCTTAATAACTGCCATTCTGACTGAAGTGAGATGAAATCAGAGTAGTTTTAATTTGCATTTCTTTAATAGCTAGAGATACTGAACATTTTTTTATGTATTTGTTGACTGATTGTATATCGCCTTCTGAAAAGTGTATGTTCAGTTCCTTGGCCCATTTATTAATTGGGTTATTTGCTTTTTTTTTCAGTTCTTTATATACCCTAGAGATTATTGCTTTGTCTGATGTGCAAGTGGTAAAAATTTGCTCCCAAGCTGTAGGCTCTCTTTACCTCACTGATTGTTTCTTTTGCTGAGAAGAAGCTTTTTAGTTTGAATATATCCCATTTATTATTATTGATTTTGATTCTTGCGCTATAGGTGTCTTACTAAGGAAGTAGGAGCCCAATCTGATATGATGGAGATTGGGGCCTACTTTTTCTTCTTTTGGACGCAGGGTCTCAGGTTTAATTCCTAGGTCCTTGGTCCACTTTGAGTTGAGTTTTGTGCATCATGAGAGATAGGGGTTTAATTTCATTTTGTTGCATATGGATTTCTAGTTTTCCCAGCACCATTTATTGAGGAGCCTATCTTTTCTCCAGTGTATGTTTTTGGCTCATACATAAGGTAACTGTAATTATGTGAGTTAATCTCTGTGTCCCCTATTCTGTGTCATTGGTCTACCAGTCTATTTTGGTGCCAATACCATGCTGTTTTTGTTACTATTGCTCTGTAGTATAGTTTAAGGTCTGGTATAGTAATGCCACCTGCTTTGCTCTTCTTGTTAAGGATTGCTTTAGCTACTCTGGATCTCTTATTTTTCCAGATGAATTTCATATGACTGCCTTTTCTATTTCTATGAGGAATATCATTGGGATTTTGATTGGAATTGCATTAATTCTGAATAGTGTTTTTCATAGTATGATCATTTTGACAGTATTAATTCTGCTTATCCAAGAACAAGGGAGATCTTTCCATCTTCTAAGGTCTTCTTTAATTTCTTTCTTTAGTGTTCTGTAGTTTTCATTGTAGAGATCTTTCACCTATTTTGTTAGGTTGATTCCCAACTCATATATGGCTGGTGGGACTGCAAAATGGTGCAGCCAATATGGAAAGCAATATAGAGATTCCTTGGAAAACTTGGAATGGAACCACCATTTGACCCAGCTATTCTATTCCTTGATCTATACCCAAAGGATTTAAAAACAGCATACTACAGGGACACAGCCACATAAATGTTTTTTGCAGCACAGTTCACAGTAGCTAAACTGTGGGACCAACCTAGATGCCCGTCAGTAGATGAATGAATAAAGAAAATGTAGTGTATATATATACCCATATTACATATATGTAATATGTACATTTTATATATACACACACACACACATATATATACACACACACACAATGGAATATTACTCAGCAATAAAAGAGACTAAAATGACATTTGTAGGTAAATGGATAGAGTTAGAGAATATGATGCTAAGTGAAGTTAGCCAGTCCCAAAAACCAAATGCCGAATGTTTTCTCTGATAACATAAGAGGAGGCTGATGCATAGTGGGGTTGGGAGGGGAAGCATGGGAAGATTAGATGAATTCTAGATAGGACAAAGGGAAGGGAGGGGGCAAGGGTTGTATAAAAGATGGTGGAATGAGATGGACATTTGTGAAAACACAAATGGTGTGAATATACTTTGTACACAACCAGAGAGATGCAAACTTGTGCTCTGTATGTGCAATATGAATTGTAATGCATTCTGCTGTCGTATACAACAAATTAGAATAAAAGGTAAAATTATAAATAAATATTTTATACATTAAAAGATTTGTCTTAGTCAATATAAGATTACTTTTTAAATCAGGAAATTTATGATAAAAATACTTGACTCTGATCACCAACCTGGTTTGTCTTTTTCCGCCCTTTTTGTGGTACTGGAAAATAAGCCTAGGGGGATTTTACCATTCCTCCATCTCAGATTTTTCATTTTTTAAGACAGGGTCTTGCTAAGTTAAAGTTAGCAAGGCTGACCTTAAACTTGCAATTTATTGCCTCAGTTTCCCAAGTAGCTGTGATTACAAGTATGTGCCACCATACCTGGCTGGGATCTGATGTTTTAAATATGTTTTCTTTTTGAAGTTTCTCTTTTAAAATAAAATCTTTTTCCTGAAAGAAATACCTTTCGAAGTTGGTCAGGAAGAGATCCAATTGTGTTAGTGTGTCTTCAGCTTTATCATGGACTGTATCTTTGTTTTGTTTTTGCAGTGATGGAGATTGATCCCAGGGACTGGAGCATGCTAGCAAGTGCTCTTCTATGAGCTGCACCCCCAGCCCATGCACTGCATCTCTATGTTTTGTTTTTCAGGGTCCCATTTTGGGAGGTATGTTTGTGTTTTGTTGGACCTTGATTGATGTTGCTGGACATCAGAGGACTGGAAAGTGAGATTAATGAAGATTATTTTTGTCCATGGACTCTCCCAGTTGCTTGGGATCATTCTGTATTCTAGAAGCTATTTTGTTTTATTGGTTTTATTTGAAGGAGCATTTACTGGCATGCTAAGCAAGGGCTCCACAACTGAGCTACACCCCCAGTCCTTTTTATTTTTTTATTTTGAGATAGGATCTCACCTGCCCAGGCTGTCCTCAAACTTGTGATTCTCCTGCTTCAGCCTTTCAAGTCACTGGGATTACAAGCAAGCACTCCTGCACCCTGCCTAACTCCTCCCTTTCTTCTCCTTGAAGATTCAAACCAGGGCCTTGCACATGCTCCATGTAGAACTGCTGTATTGCCAAAAGCCAGGGAAGGTTTCATGAGAAAAATACCAGAACTAAAGAATGTCAACTTATTTCTTTTCTACTTACGTGCTAATTCTGAACTCTCATGATCATTATGAAGCAGTATGAAAGTGAGGACAACTTTCTGCATCCCACATCCTTTTAAAAACTGAAGGACTGTACCCATCCCCAGCCTGGGGAACACCAGGGAAGATGGGAGTGGAGATTATCCTCTGCCCCTGCCTGTGTAGCACAGGCTCACTAAACCTATGTGAGTGTATTTCCTGCTTTCTATAAATTGTAAGAGCTTCTGTGGGACTAGGGGGGGAAGGATTGTAGCTGCTTCTCCCTAATTTTACCGTATTGCGTAAATGTATTTTTTTCTGTTTCCGTCCTATTTTTTATACAGGCAGGTGGTGGAATCCAGCTAGCCAAGATCTAGACAGGGTCTCTGGCCTAGGCTGTGAACAATAGTTCCTGCCCTCTAGGAAATATTCTAGATAGAAATGCCCTGGTGACCTGATTCATGCATTCCTAACTCAAAGTCATCCTGATTTCTCCTCTTGCCTGTGTTCTTGCCCCCATGTCACATCAAACGCAGCCCTGGGTTTGTAGTAGAAAACAGTAAAATCAGAGACACATTTGAGCCACAGCTGCCATTAATTTTCTCAGTCTTTGTGCTAATTCCCTCAATACTATGAAACACTGCTGCCTTCTTGCTCTTTTCCCTAAAGGTGTGACACATGGACATTTGACTTTTCTAATTT